GTTGGAGGCTCAACCGACTAAGCCATACAGGTGCACCAAAATAATTTGTTTTATTGGAGGAGAAGGGATGGTAGTAACATTCTTACCAGAGAAATAATCCTGTTTTCCTTTTAAAAATATAGGTTTTGGGATTTTAGTGTTTTATTTTGGGTTGGATAGGCAATACATGAATGTTGAAGAGTAGGCAGACACATAGTATTACAAACAGTAATAAGTAAAAGTTCCCATCTTTCTTCTACCCCATTTCACTGCTTAGAACCGGCTACAGGTACTTCCAAACATTCATAAGCCTCTTTTAAATTTATGGAAAAGTAGGGGCACCTGGGTGGCTCAGTCGATCGAAAGCCTGACTTCAGCTCAAGTCATGATCTCATGGTATGTGTGTTTGAGCCCCGTGTCAGACTTTGAACTGACAACACAGAGCCCGCTTGGGCTTCTCTCTCTCTGTCTGCCCCTCTCCCCTCTCTGCGGCTTGCCCTTCCCGCAGTATGTGTGTGTGCTCGTTCTCTCAAAAATGAACAAACATTTAAAAAAATACATGGAAAAGTAATTGCACAGCCACATACCTTAGGTATATACACGGACATACAAATATGCACATATATAATAGGTATACATACACACAATGTACGTATACAGTGTATAAAATAAACACATATAATGAGGGTTTTCCTTCCTTTTTAAAATATTACTTTTGTCCTTCTCCCTGGAATCAGAACAGCTATTAGATGCACTACTGATTTTTCCATAAGAACACCCAAAATTCACATGCTGTAGACCGTCTGAGACAGCTTCTGAATGGCGGTTGGGAATAAAACTGCCTTTCTCTACTCACCATCCATGGCTGTGTCCTCAAAACGGGAACATACTTGGCTTGGATTTCAACAACTTACTAAAGATTCTTTTTTGATTGATTCCATATCCTTTGCAGTTGCCACTTCCGGCTCAGTCTTAGAGTATCAAGTCTCTGCTATTCACGGATAATGTCCTAAAGAATGTCCTTTTCCATGACACTACCTCCTTGAAGCAGGGCTCCTGTTCGGACATTCTAAGATGGGTCTGCAAACCAGGGCTTAGCACCTGTATTTGTGAATAAAGTTTTATTGGAACCCAGCTGTGCCCATTTGTTTGCATATTGTCTTCAGCTGTTTTCACATTACAACGGGGGCAGAGCTGAGTAGTAAGAGACTGAGAGTCCACAAAGCCTACTCTCTGCCTCCTTAAAGAAACGTTTGCTGATTCACATTCTAGAATAGGGTAAAAAACAGATTGTTCTTTGCCTACCAAAAGTTCTGGGGGAAATGAATCACATACTTCATATTCAATGTCTTTGTCCAGGCTGAAGAGTTTATTTAAAAAAAAAAAACAAACAGGTGACCCATGAACAAGGGTTTGAACTGTGTGGGTCCACTTATCTACAAATTGTTCTCAATCAAGTACAGTGAAGTATGTGTATTTTCCTATGGTTTTCTTAACATTTTTTTCTCTAGCTTTACTATGAGCATACAGCATATATTTAATGTAACACACAAAACGATGAGTTAATTGTTTATGCTATTGGTAAGGCCTCTGGTCAGCAGTCGGCTATTAGTAAAGTTTTGGGGGAGCCAAAAGTTTTACTTGGAATTTCTACTGCATAGGAGGGTCAGTCCCCATAACCTCCATGTTGTTCAAGGGTCAACTGTACAAACAAACAAATAGCACGCTGGCTCTGACAGTAGCCACGGTGTCCTGGTAAATGTTTAATCACTTGCTCTCGGCCACAGGGGAGCCCTGGATTATCCATTTGCTGATTTCCATGGTGTAAATAGCTCCAGAATGGCTTACTTCAAGCTAAAAAATGTGATGCCATTGAACATGGAGTTGGGAAGAGATGGCCACAAATGCTGTGCAAACTAGCTCCAGCAAACCCTGGCTCCCCAGGACATCAGTGGCCCAACCACCTACTTTAAAGGTGAAGACACTGAGACCCAGAGAGAGTGTCTTGCCCAAAGTTGGCCCAGTGACTGGAACAAGGCTGGAAATCATTTCCCAGTAGAGTCTGGCTGCTTCAGAGGGAGTTGCTTCCTTCCTAAAAGGAAGAGTAGAGGAAGGCAGGCAAAGGAAGTTCTTTGCCAGGCACAGGGTAATAACTGTTGGTTTTTATCATTACCTTCACAGTTTGGGACTCAGGCTTCCTCGGCATGTGCTTTGAGGCACACATCAGGTAGAGGTAGTGTTCTTCACACAAGACCAGGTTTCACGCGAATACTTGACAGTGGCCTGTCTCAATTGACCAGCAGTTACCTAAGCTACCAGACTGTAAACTCCAGGAATAGAGGGACTGCCTCTGTTTGTGCTATTTGCCCCAGTGTCCAGTACAGAACTGGGAACTTGGTAAGCAGACAGTCAATAAATATGTACTGAAGGGATAAAGGAATGAAACCCCACCATCAAAGTGGAGCTTTACTCCAAGAACGCAGCAGGTATGCAGAGGTTAGATCCCATTCCCTTCTCCCATTTGTGTGGCCAGAGCAACAAGAGATACAACATACCCCTATGCTTGCGACATTTCTTTTTTTCTTTTTTTTTTTTTTTAGTATTTTTATTTATTTCTAGGAGAGAGAGAGACAGCGTGAGCAGGGGAGGGTCAGAGAGAGAGGGAGATACAGACCCTGAAATAGGCTCCAGGCTCTGAGCTGGCAGTCAGCACAGAGCCTGACACGGGGCTCGAACCCACGAACCGTGAGATCATGACCTAAGCGAAAGTCGGACACTTAACCGACTAGGCCACTCAGGCGACCCGCGACATTTCTTTTTTATCTTATTTTTATAAAATATTTTAAGTTTAATTTTTTGAGACAGGGATAGAGAGCAAGCAGGGAGAAAGGGAGAGAGAGAATCCCAAGCAGGCTCCATGCTGCCTGTAAAGAGCCTGATGCGGGGCTCGAACCCACAAACCATGAGATCATGACCTGAGCTGGAACCAAGAGTCGGACACTTAACTGACTGAGCCACCCAGGGGTCCCTGCTTGCAACAGTTCTAGACTACCAGCTGCAGTATCCAAGCTGCTTCATCAGAGCAGGAGAAACTGTGGATGGAGGGGCAAAAGGGAGGAGAAAGTTAGAGACCTGTTTTCCTCTGATATATGTATGTAGGTACTTTCTATCTGGAACTTGTTCTGACAGAGCATAGAGTCAAGGAAATAATCCAGTGAGGGATCCCACCTCCCACACACCAGGATGCAGGGCATCGCTTTCTGGCAGGAGCTGAGGAAGGGCCACTCCAAGTGGCACACCTCTGAAAGTGGAAAGTGAAAGACTGCCACGATTGGGTTATCGTGATAGTCCAATAAGGCTACACAGCTACAAAGAGCAGTGAACGTGGCGGAAAGGAAGGCACTGTTCTTTGGAAATGACTTTTTGACTACTTGGTAACTCTCGCACAAACCCCTACACACTTGGCACGGGCTCCCCACGGGCACTTCTCTGAACCCACAGGTCTGGTGTGCCACATCACTGCTGTAATCTGGACGCACAGACAAATCGATTCTTGGGGCACAGGAACAACCAAGCCATCTGTGAGCCTTGCTGAGTTTTTAGGAGGCCACTGGGGCTCATCACCTCTTATGTGGAGACCCACTACTAAAAGCTGCCACCGTGAGGTCCCAAATACCAGAGGTTAACACTGTCCGTGCATGGGGTGCTACGTGTGTTTCCATTTAGAGAAAGCATCCCGAACAAGCGGGACCAATGATTTAAGCCTCCAAAGCATTTCCTACACCAGCGGCTCTCAAAGTGTGGTGGAGGAACTCTAGGAATCCACAAGGTCAAAATAACTCTCATAATAATACCAAGACGCAATTGGCCTTTTTCCCTGTCACGTGTTCAGGAGTATACAGTGGAGTTTTCCAGAGGCTACATGATGGGACAGTGCAACAGGCTTGAGTGCAGAAGCGGATATAAGAATCCAGCTGCCTTCTATTAAACCTGCCATTAAAGAGATTTGCAGAACTATAAAACAATGCCACTCTTCTCAGTAACGTTCTGTTTTGGAAGGCAGCTATGCTCACCACTATACCACCAACGCAGGCCCGTTCTGTTTTGGAAAATAAGGATATTTTCATAAAATGCTCTGTTAATATAAATAGGTCCGCTATTTAAAAAAAAAACCAGTAAATATTTACTGTATAAAACTCTGTTTTATATATATAGTAAGTATCAAAACATAGAACCCACATAAACGAAAGCTTAGTATACGAATTTTTAAGCGCCAAAGGATTTTTGGGTCCCCTCAAAAGTTTGAGAACAGCTGTCCAAGAGACCGTGTCCCCATCCTCCGGCCACCCCTCGCCTTCACGCTTGTGGGGAGGGTTATGTATGTTATGTAGGTTGCAGGGAAGACGTGCCATTCAAATATCTGGCTGGATTAGGAAAGGCAGCCCATTCTTCCTGGATCTCTGAATTCATCAGGGCAGGCTCTGTGCCGAACTCTTCCATCTCACCCCATTTTCTCCTCACCACTCGGTGTGGCTTCCCCAGGCTGCCGGCTGGGTGAGGATTTCCCTACCCTGCAAGCCCGGGCGCCGTGAGAACTCCCTGGTGGGACCCACACATCCTCCTTGGGGTTAGGACTCCCCAGGGAGGCCCGCACACCCTCGTTGGAGGTGAGGATTCGCCGGTTCGGCCGGCCTTACAGCCTGGGTGAGGGCTCCCAGCGAGGCCCGCACAGCCTCTGAGAGGACTCTCCAGCGGCGCACACAGCCAAGGCAAATAGGGACGAGGAGAGCCATTTCCAGTCCCTGAACCCTGTCCCCCGCGCGGCACAGGCTGCAGACAAGGCGGAGAGGTCAGTCCCCAGGAGCTAGTCCGTCCCCGATTCTCACCCCAGGCCTTCCCCGGCCTCTACCCAGCGCCTGGCCGCTCCACGCGCCTCGGAAGAGGCTCCGCCGTCTGCCCCCGGGGACCGGGCGGCCGGCGCCCCCTCCCCGGGACGTCCGGCCTGCCGGGCGGGTACTCACCGCTAAGTGCACGGCCTGGATCTGCGCGCGGGCAGGCGCCAAGTGCGGGACGCGCTCCCGAGCGCTGCGTGGATCTAGGGGCAGCCGCCTCCGCGCCCCTCCCCCTGCGTCCCTTGGGGCCACCGGCCGGTGGGCGGAGCAGGGGCGGGGCGGGGGGCGCGGGGCCCGGGCGCCGCAGGGTAGCGGCCCGAGAGGCGGGGCGGAGTCTGCCGCGGCTGCCCCGCCCCGCCCGGCGGGAGAGACTTCGCCCCCGGCGGGAGGGGGCGGTGGCTAAGGGCCCTGCAGCAGGAAGCGGACCGACGCGTGCTCCGGCCCGTTCCACTTCGGAGGGCCCAGGGCCTGGGACTCGGGTGACTTTCGCACTCTGAGGGATCGGGGGGGTGCTGTCCGGCTCGCGCTAGCAAGTGAGCCCAAGGGGTGGGGAAGAAATGTAGTGTTCTTTTTTGCTTTTAAAAATGATTTGGCCATAAAGGGAGAGGCTTCGTTCTTCAGCTGCTGCAGCACATGTGGTCACACCGCGCCCCTTCTCACCCCCTTGTGCCCACCCCCGACCCCTACTCCCGCCTTAATTTCTTGCAAAGCGTGCCAAGTGGACATCGCAGTCACGCTGACATATAATAGGACTTTGACGTTTCCATGGTTATGAATGCAGAGTTTCTGGTGTAAAAAATTTTTTTTCTTAACATGTGACAACATTTTATAACGCAGGCTATTCACCAGTCAGAAATCAGAGAAATGGCTGAGAGTTGACGCTGAATGGACCTTCTTCACCAGACCTGTTTTTGTTGGCTGATTTGACTTGCACCCTCTCTAGCAAATCTGAGAAAGAAGTGATTCAATCTTTCTAGATCCAAGGTGGTGAGGTTTTCCTGTCGATTTATATGGAAAACTGTTGTTTTCTAACTTAAGTAGCTGAATAAACAGCTTATAGGACGGATAGCTAATAGCTAATACTAATTTCCACTGCTACCAGTTAGTTTCCGTTTTGTTCCTCTGTGCAGGGCCCTATGATTGGATCTTTATGTATCTTATTTAACCGACTCTTCCATCTGTCCTGTGAAGTGAAAAATATTACCCCGTTTTGCAGTTATGAAATGCGATAGCTGGGATTCAGTCCTCATGTCTGTTTCCCAAGCCCATACTTTTCTCATTATATCTAATTTTTAAATATAAAGGGTTATATTTAAAAAATCATATTTAATTTTGAAAAATGAGATTACTTACTGTATTCCCAATGTGGGAAAAGACTTTCTTTCCACACACTTCCTAGATTCATATTCATTCATTCTTCCTTTCACATTCATTAATTTTCCTTGAGTGTCTACCCCATGTCACAGAGTCACCACAAACTCTGAAAAATAATAATATTAGAGTTCCCTTGGAAGTAAGGGTGATAGTGTTCAATGATAACAGGCATATAACACAATAAGATATAATCCCTTACAGAAAAGAATGAAATCAAAACTCTAAAGGGAACAGGAATTTATTCGTAAACACTGGTCAAAACCATGAAGGAAATACATTTGAGAGTTGGTGTTCCACCACTTCGATGTTATAAAAGACATTACCTTAGTACCTGTTTTCACTAACTGAAAGAAATCTGAAGCGGATTTTCGCTTTTACAAAAAATTTGAAAAGTGAAAATGGCATTCAGTGTTTGTTTTGCAGCAAGCTGTTATAGAGAGGGCCCCCGACAAGATCCTTCCCTGGGAACTACACTCAGCCTCTCAGCACCAAGCCACCATAGCTTTGGACTGTGTCCGTGAGCATCTGTGCTTTATCTGGATTTACTTTGTGTATCCATGAGCAAGATGTGTCCTAAGGGATCAGAAAAGCCTAAGAGAAGCTGTGTTTTGGGTCTGGGAATGCTGAAAAACTTTCCCACAGAAATTAATGTAATTGCTTCTTTGCTTTCTGCCATTTTGGTTTCATGGGAACCCTCTACTTTCAGAAAGCACAAGAAACCTGTACTCCCCACATCACTCGGCTCTGTTGCTCTCTGGAAAGTCACCAGTACCATGCAGATTGTAAATCCACTGGCCTGTCTTCTGTTCCTGTCCTCACTGACTGCTCTGTGTTATTTGACACTGGTGACTAGTCTTTCCTTGAAATTTTAACCTCTTTTTGGCTTTAGAGCCCTCTGCTCTCATGATCACTTCTCTATCTTTGATCTCTCTTAGGCTTTTTGCCTATACTTTTTCTCCTCTCCCTTTACTTGTGATTCCATACACTGAGTTTTTCTTCATTTATTTTCTCTCTGTGTAGACTCTCTGTCACCTGCAGCTAAAGCCTGCTAGGTCTCTGTCACTGTTCTTAATTCTCTTCAGGTCTCCACATGCTTTATTTCCAGCCACTTGTGGGCTATCACCACCTGGATATTCCAAAGGTGCCTGCCATTCTTCACATCTAAAATGAGACTTCAGCATCTTTTCTAACCATCAGTCTGTCCCCTCCTTCCCTTCCAGTTTCTTCCTCACTCTGAATCTCACATCTTGAATTTGGGTCTCATGGAGTGTTGCAAAAGCTAAATATTTAAGGGCTTTAGAACCATATTACTATGCTTATACAGGGTCCACCTGATAAATATTTCTGCCATGGTACAAAAACTCTGCGAGTGGCCTAGCGGAATATGTAGACTTTATGAACCTTGTGAGAGGAAGCCAGCCAGCTGTGGAGCTGCTCGGGCACCGCAGATCACTCCAGGGGCCAGTGGCAGAAGGACCTTCCATTGAAGCGACTGCACTATTCTAGCAGCCTCACCTGCCAGAAGCTTCTGCTACTATAAGTTGAACCATGAAGATGTGGTCAGAGACCTGTTATGCTCCGAGGAATGCATTATTGTACTTCACGCTGACTTCAGTTATTTGTATAAACTGGACTTCTTCACTTTATAGAAAGGTCCTAAAAACTGTACCCAATTAACTTTGTACCATGCTTTTCCATTTATACTGCACATGCACACATTTTATTTAAGAAAAAGGAACTGGTGTCAGAGAAAGGCAGCCTGAGAGCACAGTCATATGCTGTTCTCTTGGAGAGATTGAGTTTGACAGTCTGACCACCTTTCGAGAAAAACTATTGGTGGTTCCCAAACTGAGTGTTTCTTGGCATCACCAGAGGGCACTTAGTAAGAATACTGCCTCCAGTGTCCCCCACCTCCTAGAGTGTCTGATTAATTAGATCAGGGGTAGGATCTGTGCTCAGAGCCTGAGGAATCTAAATACTACAGGTGATTCTGCTCTAGCAGGTCCACAGATTGGCACCAGGGGGTTGCTACCTGGAGATATACGCTCCATAGGGCGAGACCATGTCAGTTTGTTCTTCACCCCTAACCTGGGGCCTGGCACATAGCAGGTGCTCAATGCAGTTTGTTGACTCTTTCTTCCCGCCCCCTACTCCATTACACTCTGTTCGGTGTTCTCTAGCACAGTACAGAGGAGAAACATCTGGCAAGGAGTGAAGCATAAGGTGGTCCTTCCTGAAATACTTGTTTGAAGGAACTCTAGAATACCTATGTTCCTCGCTGAATGTACGTCTTTCTCATCCTAGAGGAACTTTTAAGTAAATGTTTTCTGTTCCTTTAAAAAATGCTATGTTCATAATAAGGAAAGGCAGTGCTTAGCCTCCTCTTCACCTCCCCACCCCCAAATATCCAACTGCTACCCCCCTTCCACACCTGTCCTCTATGTAATGTCTGTGCTCCTTTTCTTACCGTCCAAGTACCTGAATCCTTGAGATGCTTTCCAGGATCCGCTGGCCATCTGGTTTACACTTAAACACTGGCCTCCCCTCAACCTAACTAGTGATAAAAGCCAAATGTGGTCAAATGTCCCATTGAAACTTCACAACAACCCTTCGAGGCTGGTGATATTCTTACCATTCCACAGATATGAGAACTGAGATTCAGGGTGACTTTATAACTTGCTTTAGGTCACAAAACTGGCAAATGGTGATGCGGGGGTTTGAACCAAGGGTGATCAAACTCCAGAACTTGTGTTTTTAACCTCGATGCAGTGATGTAGCATTTTATTTAAGTGAAATCATTGGATACTCTGAGGCTATAAATCATTTATTCTCTGCAGAAAAGAAGAGGAACGTCAGTGTGCTAGGAGAGAACTTTGGTCTCTCACTGTACAGTCTAGAATTCCTTGTTCACTTACTTTCAGTGCTTCTTCTCCCTGATCACAGCACAAAGATCCCTGGTGCAGCATGTACTTTAGATGCACATGGATAAAGATCCTCCTCATCCTGGTGGATGGAGATGTTGAAAATTGGGAGCAGTAATGTCATTGTTCTGAGGCTGCTTCTCCTGACATGATTTCTTTGTTTTCAAGAAAATGATTTGGTAACATCAACAAATGAGAGTTAGAAAAATAGCAAATCTGTCACTAGTTGGACTTATTTCTATTTCCAGTTTATGAGGAGACTGCTTTCATGGGTTAGATTAACTACTATTTAAAAATCTTACTACAGCCCCTGTGCCCTTGTGCTCTCGTCATTCTTCTCCACCCTTTAGTCGCTTTGTCCTTCATTCTGGGCATTTCTTTCAGTCACTAAAAAAGCAGTGGATTCCCCAAACTCATTTTTCCTAAGCAACACAGCAGACTCACTGCATGCCTAGCCTCCACCTGGGCCCTTTACTTGTTGTCCCAGCAGGGAACCAATGTGACATTATTTTCCTGCTCCTTGCTGTGTATGAGTAATACTGTATCTCTGACCCAAGAATCTCATTTTTTCTGCCAACATCCATGGAACAGTAAGAGGCTTATTTATTAGCATGTGTAGGGTAAAGTCTTAGTTGCTGACGCTTTCGGTGACACAGTGGGATGCTGGCAGAGACACTCCTTTCTGGAAGACCCTACAGGTTATGTTAGTGGGCAAGAGAAGACTCTCCAGGATCTCATAGCAAATGCTTTTACCCAAGTGGTGAGCAAGGGGCACGGGAAGGGTCCTCCACTGCCATCCTGTTAATGTATATTTATATGTGATGAGAAACAGGATTGAAACAATTTACCCAAACGATGTTTTGGTTGTGTTCATGCTCCTCAAGAGTAGGATGCAAAAGGGTTGTTATATGACAGTGGGGTGGCCCAAAGTGGCTGTAGCTGCTGAGTCAAG